CAAAAAAAAAAAAAAAGACAAGATAGGATCAAGGGTTGGACCCTGACGCACCTGTGTCCTTCCAAGGAATACTCACCCCAGAAATTCCCATCACAGACCCCTCAGGTCGCACCATCTTGGTTACTTGTGCCTCATTCTGTGTAGATAGTATACAACCTGCTGTCCCTGCGCTTCAACTCCCGGATCCGTGTGAAGACCTACACAGATGAGCTGACGCCCATCGAGTCCTCGGTGTCTGTGTTCAAGGCGTCCATCTGGTACGAGAGGGAGGTGAGTTAGTGGGCATGCCAGGCTCTTCCTCCGGGCGGAGCTGTGGCTCCCAGGAGTGTGGCTGAACCTGCCTTAGCCCTGTGGGACTGCTTGCCAAAGAAGCCTCTTCAGGTCTGGGACATGTTCGGAGTCTTCTTTACCAACCACCCTGACCTGAGGCGGATCCTGACAGATTATGGCTTTGAGGGACACCCCTTCCGGAAGGACTTCCCCCTCTCTGGATATGTTGAGGTAGGCACGTGAAGTGGGGTGATAGGCCTCAGGAACCTGGGGGTCTTGGGCCTGGCAGGAGTGTGGTCTGGATGGTGACAGCCTAGAGCTTGGTTCAGGATCCAGTGCTAGCTTCTTTTGGTAAGCTGGGCCAGTTCCTTCATGAGTCTGACTGTACCTTCTCTGGGGCATGGCAGTCAAGAGTGGCACTTACAGGACACGTGTCGAGCCCGGTGTACTCTGACCTCAGCCGAAGCAGGCCCTGGCAGTGGTTGGTCTGCTGAGACAAGCAGCGTGAAGGGCCAGGGTTATGTTGCCCTGCTCTGGATGCCCAGGCGTGCGTTTGGAAGACCATCCGACAGACTGGCAGCTCGTACCACTAAGATGGTAGAGTCTTAGATGCACGTGTACTGGCCACCAGAGCATCACCTGAGGAGCAACATGGTGTGGATGGAGGCTCACTGAGAGAGCCTGGAAAGGCACTAAACCGAGTCAAGGACATAGCTGGGTGTGGTGCCCCTGAGGTCACAGCACCCAGGAGGCTGAGGCAGGAGGATAGTCGTAAGTTCAGGGCCACTCTGGACTACATAGTGGGTCTTAACTACCTAGTCCAGTGAGGCCCTATCTCACGGATAGGGAGATAGGAGCTGGGGTCCTCTATGGCACTCTTTGGTACCTGCCCACACCTGCCCTGTGCCCTACAGTTGCGCTATGATGACGAGGTGAAGCGTGTGGTGGCCGAGCCAGTGGAGCTGGCCCAGGAGTTCCGCAAGTTTGACCTGAACAGCCCATGGGAGGCTTTCCCTGCCTACCGCCAGCCCCCTGAGAGTGCCCGGCTCCCAGCTGGAGACCAGAAGCCTGAAGCCAAGTAGCCGGGGGAGGCGTGTGGATCCTGGAAAGCACCCTGACTGCCTGCATTGAACCTGTAAATAAATTCCTGCCTGGACTTGCACTTCTTGTGTGCTCAGTGGATGGGGGCGGCAGGGTCCTGCTGCTCCCTGGAGAGCCTGCCTCGGATGAGCCCCAGTAGCGAGCAGGCCTGAGTGGGTTCCTTTTCTTCTTTGTAAGACAGGATCTCACCGTGTAGTTGAAGCTGGCTTTGAGTCACAGCAATTCATGTACCGCCATATATGGCTTGGATGTTTCTGAGGATTCTGGAGCTGGGATTTGGGTTTCCACCGTACATGAGGTTGAGGGTGGGTGTGGCTGGGCCCCCATGACAAAGCTCCCATCTCAGCAGGCTGGTGGCAGCTGACAGATTCAGGGGCTTAGGTCATTGGGGAAGCCCCATCTACTGTCACCTGCCTATGGAGGTTCTCTTAAGAGCCAGCAGTGGGCCAGGCAGACAACCTCGGCTGTTCTCCAGTCTCAGCTCTGTCTGCTTCCAGTCCTTAAGAGCCCACGTTCTTGGACTAAAGGATTCCGCCAGGGGTCTGAGCTGAGAATGTTACTAATAAGCTGACATCCTAGGGTTGGGACCGGAAGCTGCTGTGTCACCAGCAGGCAGGGTTCTCTGCTGCTGCTCTAGGCCCCCGTGGCCTGTGGAGGAGGCACTGCACAGTGCCCTGGCTGCCCCTCCAGGACCAGCTCCTTTGCTGCAGGTGACATTCTGTGGCTGAGGAGCTCTCTGAAGTGCTCTGGACCGGGTGTTGGGAGAACTCTGAGAGTGAAGACTGGAAGGCAGGGTTTCTGGGGTCTTCCTGCACCAGGGAGGGCCAAGCCAAGGCTGTCTGTACACAAACATCTGTTAACTACATATCCTACCCATCTGGGCAAGAACCACATGCAGCAGGGCTTCCGCACTGCCAAGGTGGGGGAAGGAGCCCTGGGCGGTGACATGACTCCAGCCAGCCCCACCCTGGATCCTGACACGCATGCAGAGCACAACAGCAGCTGGTGGAGAGCTGGGAGCGGGTATGAAGTCAGAGACTCTGGACGTGGCGGGCATGGCTGGGGCGCCGCGGGGCCTGCTTTATCTGGTGGCTGGTGTTTGCCTCCTCCTCCCTGCGGTGACTCTGACCCCACACTTTGCAGGTAATGGGGCTTCAAGGTCAGCAACTTGAGGGCAGAGAACTATGGGCTAGTGGGAACCAGGTGGGATGCTGCAGTGGGTGAGGATATGAACTGCTTCCCCAGAATCAAAAAAGTCCACATGAAGCCAGTGGAGACATCACTGGGTAACATGGCTCCACAGAGTGAGGCCTTGGGCTTACTCCAGCTGATGTCCACAGTAGGGTCTCCTGGTCTGGGGACAGTTATTGCAAAGGCAAGTCAGCACCACAGAGTGGGGGAACAGGAAGTTGCCTGTCCTATTCTCTGCCTTACATGCCATTAAAGGAACCAGCAAACAATAGGCCCTGTCCAAAGAGGGCCTTGTCCTTATGGAGGGTCATTGGCATTATTGGAGGTCACCCTACTCCCAGGCAGCTGCAGGGAGGGGAGGGAGACAGAGGGTACTGGGGCCCCTTACCAAGGCCACTGTGCAAGTTAAGCCCTGGGCATTTGCCCAGATGGCCCCGGGCTTGGTGTGAGGCTCTGGAGGCCCAAGGCCCATGCCTGGGTGATGTAGGTGTTTGCATATGAGGGGCAGGGCTAAGCTGCATTTCCAGATCAGCTACTAGGGACACTCCCAGAAGCTGGGGGGCAATGGGTCTTAGGGGTGGAGGGTGGTGGGGCCTGACTCTTCTCTGCTGCCCCAGGGCATCCCATGGACAGCGCCAGCATGAGACAGGAGCCAGAGGCCCCGGAAGTGATGTTTGAGGTTACTCCCCAGTCCCAGGCATGGGGGTGGGAGCGACCAGAGGTCCCTAAGCTCAGGTTGGGAAGTGGGATGTCTTGTTGTAGGGCTGCCAAGGTGGTGGGCGGTTCAGCCTTGGCCCTTGCTCCCCACCCCACCCCTAGCCACTGCCCTCCCTAAAACGGCTCCTCTTGCAGCTGCTCTGGGCTGGGTTGGAGCTGGATGTCACAGGGCAGCTGCACATCTGGGATGAGGAACTGGCATCCACACGGCCAGGGCGCCGCCTCACACTCCTCTTGCAGCAGCTCATGCCCAGGGACCTGAACGGTGCTGAGCAGCAGCTGAGGCAGTTCCAGGACCTGCGGGAGGGGCCACCCCTTGGCCCCTGGGACTTCCAGCAGCTGATCCTCACAGGCCTGTCCTGCATCTATCAGCTCCATGCAGCCAGTGAGGCCGAGGAGCGGGGTCACTGGGCACAAGTCTTCACCCTCCTGACTCGGGAAGTGCTCTGGGACCTGTGCAAGGACTTCTGTCCCCAGGGCCAGCCCCCTTCACTGGGGCCCTGGGCCTCCATCTTTGACCCTGTCTCCTGACGCCTCCCTTTCACTTGCCATTTCCTCTTCCTCCTGACATCTCCCCTCAACCAGAGCCAGACCTGTCCTGGAGCGGGGCTCCCAGTGACACCTGCATCTTCCTACTCAGGCCCTTGGGCTTGGCTTGCACCTAGGTACCTCTACCCTGATGCTTGCCTGGGTCCAGGTGGCAGGCACACAGCTAAAGGCAGGGCATGCAGGCAGTGTGTGAGCACGCGTGTGGGAGCCAGGCATCAGGACTGAGAAGTGCTTAACAGTGGGAAGTGAAACTGCTCTGAGGAATCCTAGCACCCAGTCCTAATTGCCACGTCTCTCCAGACCTGACTGAGACTTTGGCCCACACCCGACCCCATCTGGGCCAGAGCACAAACTGGGCTTCTCTCGTGTCTGTCCATGGACAGCAGGAAAGTAGCTGAAAGAACATGATGTCTAGGGAGGGAGGGAAAATGACTTTGGTTCTATGTCAACAAACCTCCACTAAGCGTGTCAGGAAGAATGAGGCTGGAAGGGGCCCTCAGGCTGGCTGGGGGCTGCAGGGTGGGTGGAACCCTGACTGTGTAGCTCTTCCCATAAAAGACTCTGCTACCACCTCATGAGAATGTGTCATTTTACCGCCTTCACGGGGTCACACTGCCCTCATCCTGGGAGGGCAGGCCACTGGGCAGCAGGCATCAGCCTTTCATTCCATCCCCATACCTTAGGGGAAGAAACATGTTTCCTTTGAGCCTATACGGATAGTGGGAAGTTGTCCTTTGTCCTAAACAGGAATCAGCAGGGCCTTAGATTAAGGTGGTAAATCAACAGGTACAGTGACATACACCTGTAATCTGAGCACTCGACTCAGCTGAGGCAGGAGGATCACCAGTTCCATCCTAGCCTGGGCAATTTGTTGAACAACCCAGACCCTGTCTCAAAATAAATATATATAAGGAGGCACGGGGGGGGTGGGGGCGGGGGCTGGGGATGTATGTAGCTCAGTGCCAAGGACTGGATTCAACAGCTAGTGTACATACCAAGGAAAATACTGGAGGGGCAGGCTGCCGCACTTTGGGCCCACCACAGGGCAGGCGCGCATGCTTGACTCCCACTTCTCACCCTCGCGGCCTGACCCGGACCGGAGGCCCCCACAGCCAGCACGCCCCAAGCAGGAGGAAGTGGTACAATTGAGACGGCGCACGTGCACTTTATTGGCGGAGTCCAGCGCGGGGTGTCCGGGCGGCCCGGCTTGCATGCACGCCCCGCATCCGGCCCGTCCCCGGCCCCTGTCCCCTCCTGGGCCGGCCTCAGAGCTCCAGGTCGCCATCAGCGGTGAGGTCGGGGTACACCAGGAAGCCGGAGAAGGTGATGTACTTGCCGTGGTTGCTGTAGGCGCCGTAGCCATCGTGGTCGTGGCTGAGCAGCCACACGGCGTCACCGCGCCGCAGGGGCAGCATCACGCTCTGGCTCTGCATCTCGCGGCGACGCGATGCGCCGTCGTCGTAGATCATGGCCTGCACCTCGTCGCGGTTTTTCATCAGCTTCACCGACAGCGTCTTGCGCGGCATCTTACCCAGCGTGAAGGAGAAGAAGTAGGCGCCGGGCAGGCGGCAGCGGAACACACCGGCCGCCGCGTCGAAGTCGCCACCGATGTTGACGAGCTCGGTGTCAAAGGCGAGTGGCCGGTGTCGAGGCTCCGGGCCCGCGTCGGCACCCACCAGGCTGCGCGTGCGCGCCGCCGAGAAGGCCGAGCGCGGCTCCGAAGCCAGGCGTGTCGGCGTCGGCGTACACCAGGTAGCCGCTGAAGGTGGCACCCGGAGAGCCCAGCGCGTACTGCGGGGCGCCGTGCAGCCGCAGCCACACCGTGTCGCCGTAGTCGAGCTGCAGCATAGCGCTCTGGCTGGCGGCGCGCCGCGTGCCGGGCCGCCGCTGCTCGTCGAAGGCCAGCGCCTGCACCTCGTCGCGGTTGCGCACCAGCATCACCGACAGGCTCTTGTGCGGGGCCTTGCCCGCTGTGAAGGAGAAGAAGTAGGCCCCCGGTACCCGGCAGCGGAAGCGCCCTGTGGCCGCATCGAAGTCGCCGCCGATGTTCACCAGCACCTTGTCGAAGGTCACTGCCATCTCCGATGTGCCCTCCAGCGGCGTGGTGCGAGCCGCCGAGAAGGCCGAGCGCAGCCCCGAGGAGCCGGGCCCTGGGGCAGGGCCCAGGGCCCAGCTGGCAGCTGGTGCCAGCAGGCTGAACAGGAGAAGCAGCATGGCCCCTGTGGAGACAGGGCGCGGGGATATGGCATCCACCGGATCGCAGAGCGGGTGCTCTTCCCAGCCCTGACCTGGACTCAAGGGTGAAGTCATGTTCCTGCAAGCAGGACTAGTGCCTCCCACACCAGAGCGTCTAGTGTCACACTCAGGGCTTGTTAAAACACACAGCCAGGCATGGTGGCACACTCAGGCAGGCTCAGCAGTTTGGGTGGTGGAGACAGCAGCAGCAGCACATTTCGAGGCCAGCCTGGGCTGCACAGCCAGGTCAAGTTTAACCTGCACTACACAGCAAGACCTTGTTTCAAAAAATATAAAATTCAAATAAGGGGCCCTGTGATGCACCCCTATAATCCCAGCACCCTGGGATTCAGAAAATTTAGACAAGGTCAGCCAAGACTGGGCAATTTAGTAACTTAGGGAGACCCCTGTCTCAGAAAAAAAAGGGCTAAGGATGTAGCTCAGTGCAAAGCTCTGTGTGGTTGTTTTGTTTTGGGTTTTTTGAGACAGGTTCTTGCTATGCAGCAGGCTGATCTCAAACTCACAGTGATCCTCCTGCCTCAGCCTCCCAAGTGCTGGATCAGAGGTGTGTGTCACCCTGCCTTGCTAAATACAAGACTGTAGGTTCAATCCCCATTCCTGGAAAACAGATGCACAGCTGGGCCCATCCGAGTCTGGGCCAGGGCCCAGGAACCTCCTGTAAGGCTGTGAAGCCTCTGGGCAGCTTTGTTCCTCAGGGGTAGAACTGTACAGACACCTAGTTTGAGGCTTGAATCATACTCCCAGGGTCAGGCTGAGGGCTCGCCGGGAGCTCCTGAGCCCCTCCTGGGTTCTGCATCCTGAGCCCAGCTCTGGTGCACAAGCTCCCCGAGAAGATGCAGTGCCAGCAGATGAGGACCTGCCTTGCAAACAGCAGTGTGAACTGGGTGGTCCTGGGAAGAGGCTGTGATTCAGTTGTGGACATCAGGGTTAGGGACGCAGGAGCCCCTGCCCCTGAGAGCAAGGCAGGGCTCATGGTCCCATTGCTGGTCCCAGGAGGGCAGGATCTTAAACGCAGAAACACTGGGCGCAAGCTTTGCAGAGAAACGCCCTGTTGTGTGTGGCGGCTCTGTGTTGCCTAGAGACGCTGGGGCCTGCTGAGTGGGTTGCCAGGTGCAGCCCGGAGGCAGATGTGGTGTTCACCTGAGGACTGTGAGAGCTGGAATGCAGCCCAGATGCTAGGGTGGCTCCTGGGGAAATTCTCCTAGGGGCTCAAGCTGCTGGTCCCTGGCAGTACCCTAATTCCTGAAAAGGCATCTGTGGGTGTCCATGTCCTTGGTGACAGGTGGAGGAGGGGGGCTGGTCTCTAATGGTGCAAGTTGCACCTCACAAGTATCCAGTGCCTTCCCTTCAACAGAGCTCCTTTGAGTTGGGTGTGAGGCAGTTTGAAGCAGCCAGGACTATACAGGAGTTCAAGGCCAATCTCAACAGCAAGACTCTGTCTCAAAAACCAAACCAAGGCGCCAGGGAGATGGCTCAGTAGAATAAGTACTTCCTTGGCAAGCACAAGGGTCTGAGTTCAATCCCCAGTTCTGAAAAAAAAAAAAAAAAAAAAAAAAAAAACCCAAGCAATCAAAAACTCAAAACTCTTTTGGAGATATCCCGTCTTGGCAAGTTTGGGGGTGGGGTGCTCTCCCATTTTACAGATGAGAAAGCTGAGGTCTCACAAAAGGGCATATTCCAGCCCAAGGTCATCTGTGGAGCACTAAGGCAGGGCTTGCACAGTGGTTTGCTGACATTGGATTCAGTCTGCCTTCCTTCCCGTCACCCTTACCTCTTAGACACAGGTATCTAGCCTCTTTGTCCTCTGCCTCAGTTTCTCTTTTCTGCAAAAACGAGAAGAAAGGAGAGGACTACATAGTGGGATGCAACGTAGAGAAAGGAAGCAAGCAAAGCAAACAAAAGCAACCGAAACTCCCCTCCAGCACTGTCTCTGAGCGCGCTGCGGCTGCTTTCTTTCCCAGCTGCTCCTTCCAGGGCCCCTGCCTGCCCTACCCCAGTGCGCGCCCCAGGGTGGCCCCGCAACTGCACATACCCCAGGACCCTGGTCCCCTCCTTGGACCGACCCCCTCCCCAGCAGGTGGGGACAGGTGGGAGGAAATGGCTGTTCCTGGCTCTTGCAGGTAAGGCTCGACACGGGCATCTTCAAAGAGCAAAACCGGGACAGGCGCCGGGCAGCCCCGGAGCCCCATCACCAGGCGCGGAGGGGCAGCGACGTCCGGCAGGGGTCTCCGCGCCCCCGGCTCCCCCACACCCCCCGTATCGCCCTAGAAATTCATCCCTTCTCGTGACCCCCTCCGCGCAAGGTACCCGAGATTCTCCCCCTCCTCCGTCCCTCTGTCCCTCCCGAGCGCAGGCTTGGAAGCCTCCTCCGCGTCAAACGCCCAGGTGCCCGTTTTTCCAGAAAGACCCAGACCCGCGCCCACGAGGCGGGGATCCCGCTCCGGCTGCGAGTCGCACTCACCTGGCCGCGGCGCTGGATTCGGTTCGGTGTGCGCTGCGATCCGCCTCGGGCTCGGGCTCCGGCTCGCGCTGGGCGGGCGCTGGGGCTGCGCACTGACCACGCTGCGGCGGGGACAGGCGGACGGGCGGGGCGCGGAGACCCCGGGACCGCAGG